TTTTCTTTTTTCAATTAGGCCAAATTTATTTGGACAGGAGTCAGGGAACAATGCTCCCCACAAGAGATTCATATCCTAATCCTGCAAATCTGAAAACACTAAATTATGTGGCAAGAGATGTGATCAGCTGGAGGAATGTGGCTCAAATGATGGCATACCTATTCAGCAAGGACAAAGCCCTAAGTTCAAACTCCTTACTGGTTCTAAAACACTACTGATTAAAAATGTATCTTAATCCTTAAATGGAATCACATGTATCTTCCCTGGAGGAGGCAGATGGAGTTATGAGACACATACAAAGGATAAGACAATGAGAAAATAGAGTAGATGAGCCCATTAACCAAGGAATGCTGACCAGAAGCTGAAAGCAACACTTTTCCCTGCAGCTTCCTTAAGGTTCTCAACTGAATCTCAAAGGATTCAAGGCAGTGGGTTATTAGAGGAATAACAGAAAATTAATACATTGAAAAGTTAAAAAAAAAAAGGGGGGTAGGTAGGCAGTACGAGAGTACTGAGGATTGAACACAAGGCCTCATGCATGCTACACCAGCATTCTACCACACCCTCATCCTGAAAAAATTTAAAGATCTTGTATAGCTGCTTGTATAGCTCAGTGTTAAGAAAATGTAATCAGCCTGGTCTAAGCTCTGGGTTCATTCCCTAGCATCAAAACAAATACACACAGATTAGACATATGCAAAACCATTTACTGACTCAGAAAGAATTATGCTTCAAGCTGGACATAGTAGCTGACAATTATAATCTCAGCACTTACCAGGCTGAGGTAGGTCTGAGACAGTGTCAAAAAATAGACAAGGGGCTGGGAATGTGGCTCAGTGGTAGAGTGTTTGCCTTACATGCATGAGGCCCTGGGTTCGATTCCTCAGCACCACATAAGCAGAAAAAAAAATCCAGATGTGGCACTGTGGCTCAAGTGGTGGAGCACTAGCCTTGAGCTAAAGAGCTGAGGGACAGCGCCCAGCCCAGAGTTCAACCCCACTACTGGCAAAAAATAAATAAATAAAAAATAAAAAGACAAAAAACACCAACTGGTTCATTCCTGTAATTCGAGCTACTTTGGAGATCAGGAAGGTGGAGGAGGCCAGACTAGACAAAAAATTCAAGAGACCATATAGCAACCATATCGCTGGTCATGGTGGTACTTGCTTATTATTCCAGCTAAGGCAAGAGGCAGAAACAGGAGTTGATCAAGGTCCAGGGCAAAAGATCCTACCACAAAAATATTCAAGGCAAGAAGGGTTAGAGGCACAACCCAAGTGGTAGAGTGCCTGACTAGCAAGCTCAACACCCTGAGTTCATTCAAGCCCCACAATGCTTCACACCCCTCCCAACCCCGGCTAAAAAAATGCTTCAAGTAACCTTAAAAATGACTAAGATCTCTAATCTCTCTAAAGGGTAAGGATACAATTTACCTCAAAATAAACTGGCAGACCTGAGAAATACAAACTCAGAAAGGCTTGATATTTACATAGCTGCTAACAAGAACCGTGTAGGTTTTACTGCAAACATACTAGCTGCTTGATCTCCTGAACAGACTAAACATAGGCAGAAGATGTCAATGTGGGTGTTCTGCCAGCACAAGTGTAAAGTTGTCATCAGAAATGAGTATGTGGCTTACAAAAATCCACAAATCTGTACCTTGGACTGTGTATGCCAACTCGTCTCAGAAGGACCTGGACTATTAGTACAATGAGTTAAAGTCATCTTCTATAAGCAAGAAGGAAATAACCAAGTTTATGTCAAGGCAAAAAGATGACTGCATGGTTTGTTTAATAATCTGTAAACAGCAACACTAAATCAAGTGATAACTCACATTATGATTCATTGCTGTTTAAAGTCAATATTCATAGCACAGCTTTAGGCTCAATTTCAGACAAGGTGAATACAATAGAAACAGATAAAGTGAAAGGACAAATTAAAGGCTAGAAATGCTTTATTAAGTGGTGTTATTTAATGGGTGATTCTGATAACTTGCATGGGAATCACATCAGGTGGTCACATTTTAAAAAAGGGGGGGGGCTAGGAATATGGCTTAGTGATAGAGTGCTTGCCTAGCATGTATGAAGCCCTGAATTCCTCAGTACCATATAAACAGAAAAAGCTGGAAGAGGCACAGTGGCTCAAGTGGTAGAGTGCTAACCTTGAGCAAAAGAAGCCCAGGGAGAGTGGTTAGGCCCTGAGTTCAAGCCCCAGAACTGGCAAAAAAAAAAAAAAAACCACTGCGGGAGGGAGGGAGTAACAGTGTTAGAACTGGTGCCCATGCCTGGGGCTAGTGGTCCAAACCTGTAACCATAGCTACTCAGGAGACTGAGATCTGAAGGGCAAGACAGCCCAGGCAGAAAAGTCCCCATAAGATTCTTATCTAATTAGCACAAAGTTGGAAGTGGTGCTGTGGTTCAAGTGGTAGAATACTAGCCTTGAGCACAAAAACTCAGGGACAAGCTGGCCACTGATGGTTCACTCCTATCTATAATCCTAACTACTCAGGAAACAGACCTAAGGATCACCTTTCAAAGCCAGCTCAGCCAGGAAAAGTCCAAGAAACTCCTATCCCCAATAAACTATTCAGAAAAAGCTGGGGGCTGGGAAGGTGGCTCAGTGGTAGAGTTCTTATCTTGAATGTATCAGGCCCTGGTTCAATTCCTCAGCACCACATAAGCAGAAAAAGCTGTAAGTGGTGCTGTGGCTCAAGTGGTAGGTGCTAGCCTTGAGCTGAAGAGCTGAAGGACAGCGCCCAGGCCCAGAGTTCAGGCCCCACAACTGACACACACAAAAAAAGAAAAAGAAAAAAAAAAGATGGAAGTGGTGCTGTGGCTCAAGTGGTAGAGCGCTTGCCTTAAGCACAAAACTAAGAGACAGTGCCCTAGCCTTGAGTTCAAGCCCTAGGACAGTTTAAAAAAAAAAAAAGTTCCCCCAAAAATTCTCAGGGCAAGGAAAAATCTCCAAAACTTTCTTTAACTTATTCAATCACGTAGCTGGGCGCCAATGGCTCACGCCTGCAATCCTAGCTACTCAGGAGGCTGAGATCTAAGGATCATGATTCAAAGCCAGCCCAGGCAGAAAAGTCCATGAGATCTGTCCAATTAACCACCAGAAAACCAGAAGTGGTGCTGTGATAGAGTGCTTGCCTTGAGTTGAAGAGTTCAGGAACAGCGCCTAAGCCCAGAGTTAAAGCCCACAACCGCCCCCCCCCCAAAAAAAAATCCAATCACTTTAGACATATGCTTCCTTTCTCTTTCCTCAACTAATACTTTGCTATTAGTTCTCTTTCCTCAACTAATACTTTGCTATTAGTTCCAACAGGTTAGTTAAGTGTTAATTCCACACTTAATAATCCTTTTAACATTAGATGCAATAGTAGCGTCTTAAGCTCTAAGTGCTTTAAGTTTTGAAAGATAGGCTAAAACTTTATTAATAAGAACGGTCTAAGAACTTGATTCTCCAGAGGCAGAAGCTAAGTCTAGTTAGGATCATCAATATGATAGTTTCAGAATTTCCATGAAAAAATTACCACCAAAATTGTCCCACAAGGGGCAGGTTTATCATACCTATTAATAATCACTTTAGTTCTTAGCTCAACAACTTTATTAGCATTCCTGTTTACAAATAGTTATAAAAATGTTTGTCCTTTTGAAAGTACCAGAGAATGTAGAAATCCTTGTTCATTATAAGATTCACTAAAATCATCAGCCTTTTGTAGAGTCAGAAGATCTCAAATCATATTTCATGTTGATCCTATTTAAATACCTTCTCTAAATAAATCAGTTAACAATAAAGTAGTATGACTGATACAGCTAATAAATGGTGATTCATTTATACTTTTCCAAACAATACTGGAGTAAGTACAGTGTGCATTAATTATCAAGAGAACTAACCTATTTAAAATACACTTAGATATCTCCCAAATGAAGACTCCTTTATAGTCAGGCATCCTCAAAGGACTGCAGGAAGAGGGGCTTCTAAAATCTTTAATGCTGTAAAGAAACTTATGGAAGGAAAATTTTCTGGCAAAAAGAGATTAAAACACTGACACAAAAATAATGAAAAAGGGTGATGAGAAGTACATGACTGGAAACACAAAGACAAATGATTTTTTAATTAATTTTTAATGACAAATTATCTCTGCAGAGATTTAAACATTACAGACCCAACCTGCCTCAACCCCACGGTGTTCCTAATAGTGCAGCTTTCCAAAACAAAAAAACAAAAAATCTTGTCTGCAGGACCTACAAATCTACATCTCATTAAGATGTAGATTTTTCCTGGACGCCTTCCAGCGCAGCTCACGGTAATCGTTAATCGTTCCAACATATCTATCACTTTTCTTAAAAAGTGCAATTTCAAAATCTACAGTCCTTCCCACCCCACCCCCACACCCTATTCCTCAAACCTAAAGGGGGTGTATGGGGTGGCGGGAATGCCAAATTGAAGGAAGGCACAGAGAAGGAAATTTTACGCTTGCCATGGAAGCCTAAAGAGAAGTCATTGTGCATGAAATAGCCCCTCGAATCCTCCACAAAAGATCTCCCTCTTTTGCAGAGCATGTCCATATAGTGGCTTCAGATAAGGTCGATGTGTTTTACCAGCCCGACTCCCGCGCTCTCCAGTGGAGTTAAACTCAGCTCCCAGCAGATAGCTAACCTACCGCGCGCTAGATGCTCATTGGGTCGATGAGCCGCCGCTCAGGAGCCGAAAACCCGCCTCCTCCATTCCGATGGCCCAAGGGCCTATCAGCCGGCAGCTGAAGGCAGAACCAATTGGCCGCTATACTTGCCAGTCAAATTCTCCGGCTGCACAGCTCCAAAGAACCGGCAGGACTACAACATCCCGCCCCCTATTCCCCTATTGGCTGGCCGGATCCATCGCTGCCCCTTCACTATTCCCCCCCACCCCGCGGTCCATTCATTTCACACAATAACGGGCCCCGTTGGAGCCTGTTCGAGATCTCATATGGGTAGACAAGACTCTCTGCCACTTACCCGGGATCGAGAGTAATCACTCACACTAACGCCAGCCCTGTTCCTCTGTGGTGAGGCCGCACCACAAGCCTCCGCTACCGCCGCCTTCTGCGCAACGCCAACCGCCCGCCAAAACGGATCCTTCCCTGCGCCTGCGCAACCAATCCAAGGAGCGGACCTTTTTTCTCCGCCCATTACGCCTGCGCAAAATGGTACACTACTCCCGCCACTACGCAAGCGCCGTAGTTTCACCGCCCTCTCCCGCCCGCCATTTCACGTGTTCCTGGCAGGCGGAACTTCTTAATACGCCTGCGTAAACTCGCCATTTTACTACACATGCGCCTAATTGATGATGGTCGCCAGAAGTCGCGGGGCTGCTTCTCTTCCGCGTAATATTAGCCATGCTCTGCCAAGTGAACTGAAAATAATGGTTGCGCGTAGAGGGTGAAAAAGTCATTTAAGTATCGTGGGGAAAACATTCAAAAATAAATGATTGGCAGGACAGCCAATCAAGCTACTTAAGAATAACATTGCTCGGAGCCAATGGGCTTAAGGGGCGGGGACTGCGTAGAACGCCCTAACGGATGACGTTTCGCAGCCTGGTTGTACCGCAGGCCAATAGTAGTAGGAATCGATTTTAAATATCCAATAAGAGCTAGGCAGGGGGTGGAGTCAACCAATGCCAATTGCCAGGAGGCGGGATAAATAGGCGAGGCTGACGGTAGGCTGGCGGATGCGCTCTTTGGCTTACTCCTTTCTCTTCGTGGACGCGACCGAGGAAGCATCGCTCAAGTGTCTCTTCCCACCCCTCTCTTGCCGTCATGTCTAAGTCCGAGGTAAGTGAGACTCTCTGCAATTTGATCTTCCCCCTCATCTCTAGAGTTAGGTAGAACGTAGCTTTTTTTTTTTCCTTGTTGCTGATGTTGACACGAGTGCTTAGAGCAGTTTTTTTTCAAGTCTCTGCTAGGGCCTACTCCCAAAGTTCAGGTCGCCATTTTGTCCTCATCGCCGCCATGAGGCCGCGGCTGCCAACCATTCGTTATCACCCTCTTAGCTCGTAGCAAGAGTGTTAAGCGCTTACGGTCTGGAGCTTTTATTTGTTTTTCTGCCTTGTTTAGTGAGTTGAGTTTCCTAAAAAGCTATTAAGCATTTCATGGGCACTGCAGCCCTTCCCGCTCCGGCCTAGCCTTTTGTTGCGCGTGCGTGCGAGGAGTTAGCGCATGCGCCCGGGGCTCTGCACCCGAGGTTGGGCCGTCACGTGGCGTGGGGCGAAAATCACGAACAATAAGTGCCCTGGGCTTAAGGGTTTGGTGAGAATCGGTGTTAAAGATCCCACTAAGCCCTTCCTACTCCCCTTTCCCTTCAGTCTCCTAAGGAGCCCGAACAGCTGCGGAAGCTCTTCATCGGAGGGCTGAGCTTTGAAACGACCGATGAGAGTCTGAGGAGCCATTTTGAGCAATGGGGAACCCTCACGGACTGTGTGGTAAGACTGATGGGTTTTTCTCTTCGTGTGTCTTGACTGTAGGTGATTGGTCTTTCTCTTCGTGTGTCTTGACAGTAGGTCTTAGTTGGAAGTTTTTTTTTTTTTTGTTATCCTATCTTTTTAAAAACTAGGTGTTAAATCTTTAGCCTTGGAAACTGAGTTGTGGTGTAGACAGGGCTGGTAACGTTTATTCTGTTCTTTGAAAAGTAATGATAATTAGCTTCTGGGGTCAGGCTATCTAATTAATTGGATTAACGCTCTTCTCAGGTAATGAGAGATCCCAACACCAAGCGCTCCAGGGGCTTTGGGTTTGTGACTTATGCCACTGTGGAGGAAGTAGATGCAGCTATGAATGCAAGGCCACACAAAGTGGATGGAAGAGTCGTGGAACCAAAAAGAGCCGTCTCAAGAGAAGTAATTGTTTTTAATTGCACATCTATGTATGGAAGGGTTAACATAAAATCTTTGGGCAGGGTTTTTTTTTTTTTTTGGCCTTTTTCTGTTTTAAACAGCTTGAGATACTCTTTTTCTCCTGTAGGATTCTCAGAGACCTGGTGCCCACTTAACTGTGAAGAAGATTTTTGTTGGTGGCATTAAAGAAGACACTGAAGAACACCATTTACGAGATTACTTTGAACAATATGGCAAAATTGAAGTGATTGAAATCATGACTGACCGAGGCAGTGGAAAGAAAAGAGGCTTTGCTTTTGTAACTTTTGATGACCATGACTCTGTGGACAAGATTGTCAGTAAGTAGACAACATTGTTGTATATATAAGGTTTCAAAAATCTGTACATTATTCTAACTTACATTTTTTCAGTTCAGAAATACCATACTGTGAATGGCCACAACTGTGAAGTAAGGAAAGCCCTATCAAAGCAAGAGATGGCTAGTGCTTCGTCCAGCCAAAGAGGTGTGTTTACTTGATTTTGCAGCTAGGCAATGTAGATTAAAAAGTTACTGTAAAGTGTGTTGTAACATTATAACTTAACTTTTTAAGGTCGAAGTGGTTCTGGAAACTTTGGTGGCGGTCGTGGAGGTGGTTTTGGTGGCAATGACAATTTTGGTCGTGGAGGAAACTTCAGTGGTCGAGGTATGTTACCAAATCTAAAGATAGATGCATACTTAGCTAGATTCTCTTTTTTTGCAACTTGAAATAACTGTTGGCCTGTTCCACTTAGTCTGGTTGCAGTCCAAACCTAGTTTAAAATTCTGCTTTCCTTCAGGTGGCTTTGGTGGCAGCCGTGGTGGTGGAGGATATGGCGGTAGTGGGGATGGCTACAATGGATTTGGTAATGATGGTAAGTTTACTAAATATAGTAAGTAAAATATTCTAGCAACTTGCACCTTTAGAATAGGCTAGTAGAGACTAAACTTTTAGTGCATGAACACATTCAACTTCACCAATAAAATAATACGCATGCTATTAGGCCTCAAGCCATCACACATGCAAAGATTTTTGCTGTTAAATACTTTTGTCTTATTGAGAAGAATTGTATTCTTGTAGGTGGTTATGGAGGAGGCGGCCCTGGTTACTCTGGAAGCAGAGGCTATGGAAGTGGTGGACAGGGTTATGGAAACCAGGGCAGTGGCTATGGCGGGAGTGGCAGCTATGACAGCTATAACAACGGAGGAGGCGGAGGCGGCTTTGGCGGTGGTAGTGGTAGGTATCCAGTGATCCAGTATTTGGTGTGGTAGCTAGATTAGCATTTTAGAGTTTCTGCCTGTGTTGGATTTTGAAGCTTTTAAAGCATTGTGTGGTACACTGCATGGTACATTAAAAACAGGCTTGCTGTGCTACCTCCTCCTGGCTTTAAGCTGGGGCCGCCTCACTCCCAAATAGTTAGGTAAGTGGATAGTGATTCCCTGCGATTTGAGTTAGATTAGCATCATGATAGGATTTAGTATATGAAGTCCTTTGGGACCTAAGGCAATTAGTTGATATATCCCAAAAAACCTATACTGGCTTTGGATGCAGGAAGGCCTGGACAATTCTTACATCACTAGGAAAACTTGCCATATGCCTTTGGATTTTCTTTCAACAAAGGATTGTTCAACTGAATGCCTTACCCAGAGAAGGAAATGGAAAGATTCAGAGCTACCAGTTTGGGAGGAAAGCACACAGATGATAACAACTTTCATTTTGACACAACAGAATTGAGCACTGTTGATCTTCAACTAACAGACAAGGGCCTTCTATTTCTAGGTAGCAATTTTGGAGGTGGTGGAAGCTACAATGATTTTGGCAATTACAACAATCAGTCTTCAAATTTTGGACCCATGAAGGGAGGAAATTTTGGGGGCAGAAGCTCTGGCCCCTATGGTGGTGGAGGCCAATACTTCGCCAAACCACGAAACCAAGGTATATTTCTGTGATTGGGTAAAGGTATCTACAATCTAGTATTGGTGAAGATTTCATAAATATTCCAGATAGTGTGCATGTGGGCAATAATAAGGTGACAATTTTTAATTTTGGGGGGGGAAAACTTGTAATCAAACCATGCCTTTGTCAGTTAAGGTTCAGATACATAACCTGAACTCAGACACATAAATAATCTCAAATACAGAGAAACTTGGCCATTAAATGGTCATTTCCTCAGATTTTAAATGATGAAATAATATTTCAGGTGGCTATGGCGGTTCCAGCAGCAGCAGTAGCTATGGCAGTGGAAGGAGGTTTTAACTACTGCCAGGTAAGTAAGCACCTTTCTTATATGTTAGCTGAATTTTTTATAATTGCTGATAAACCCAGTAACCCTGGTGTAGCTGAGCAGTGCAACGTAGTTAACCTTATAATTGCAGTAAATTTGTGAATATTAAGTTAATATTCAGATCAGCAAAATTTGTGGGAAACAACGTGGTATTGGATTTGTAGCCTTGAGTCTTAATATGTTTAGATTAACAACTTTATTCCATATTGTTCAACAGGAAACAAAGCTTAGCAGGAGAGGAGAGCCAGAGAAGTGACAGGGAAGCTACAGGTTACAACAGATTTGTGAACTCAGCCAAGCACAGTGGTGGCAGGGCCTAGCTGCTACAAAGAAGACATGTTTTAGACAATACTCATGTGTATGGGCAAAAAACTCGAGGACTGTATTTGTGACTAATTGTATAACAGGTTATTTTAGTTTCTGTTCTGTGGAAAGTGTAAAGCATTCCAACAAAAGGGTTTTAATGTAGACTTTTTTTTCTTTTTTTTCTTTTTTTTGCACCCATGCTGTTGATTGCTAAATGTAATAGTCTGATCATGACGCTGAATAAATGTGTCTTTTTTTTAAATGTGCTGTGTAAAGTTAGTCTACTCTGAAGCCATCTTGGTAAACCTGCCCCAAGAGTGTGGAGTTAGAATTACTTCAGGGTGGTGCCAAATTTCATTTGAAATTTACTTGGAACTGCTTGGGTTCAGAAGCCATTGCTTTCAGAAAGAAACCTTGGTGTAGTTAACTGACAGTTACTGTGACCTTGATGAAATTCACCATTGACAGGGTGACTCAAGCAAAGTCATGGAATTTTATTTGGTTATAAAAACAATGGTTGGCACATCCTATGCAATATCTAAATTGAAAAATGGTACCAGATAAAATGATAGATGGGAATGAAGATTGTGTATCATCCATTATCATGTGTAATCAATAAACGATTTAATTCTCTGAATGGAATGACAACTGTATGGATTTGGGACTGGCAGAGATTTGGACTTTACCTACACACTACCCCTGATAAAACGTTGAATGTTTCTATATCACAGTGCAAGTTCAAAGCTCTGCCAGAGAACAGCCCCCTGCTGGCTAATGCCACCCAATAAGTCCACAGATTAGAGGTGTTACAGACTACTTTTCTTAAAATGACAAAATACCCATACAATTTTAATTTGAAGAATAGGGTACATTAAAGGAAAACTGCAGTTTTTGTGGGCTTTTTTAAACTGGGTTATTTTTTTGCTTAGGTCATTGTTGGGTGGGTCTTCAGATATAATAAATCATTTGTAGATTTAAATTAGAAATGTGATGTTTTCTGCATAATTATATCAACTGCAGTTTTCTTTTAAATGTGGCACAAGGTCACACAACATTCAGAGGTGTTAATTGTATGGAAAATGCATTCTAAACAGTTGATATCCAATAATTGTCTGTACATAAGATTCTTTTGAGCCTTTGGTGCCACTTTAATTTCAGTGCCTTTGTACCTAGTAGTATAGATACCTGTTTATCATTAGGACTGTATTCCATTCCATGGATGTATTACTTGGAAGTTCGGGCGGAGGGTGGGAAAAGTGGATGGGAGGTGGTGGGGATGGGAAAGCATGGATGATAGTTACATGATACTGGCTGAGTTTGCAATAGCAGGTGGAACCTTAACTGTTGAGGGAGTTTGCAGATACCTCAGGATTCGTGACAATGCCTTTAAAGATCCAGGAGATGTTCAGCTACTAGGAACTGCTAGCAAGCATAGCGCGAATGGCTTCGAGCTCAGACACTCTGCAGCTGAGAGTAGACACATGTGGTATGTGGAGTACAGATAAGCCAGGGGCAGGCCACGACATGCTCCATGAAAGCTAGGAGGGAGTGAAATTTCAGTGACCATCGCAAGGAAGGAGGCAGACAAGAGTAAGGCACACCTGACTCTTAGGACTAGCAGTCAGAACCAGAAGGAAAGGTTTTATTGCTATACTGGTAGGTAAGAACAGATTTTACTTACATCCATATAGTTATGTAAAATCCAGTTTTCTGTTGGAATCTCATTTATATTGAGCCAAAAACTAGTCCAGTTAAGCTGAACTTGGTTTTTTGTATCTTGAGATTAATTGACACCCTATTGGCTTCAAATTGAAGTGGACACTTTAAATTTATGTCTGCTGTAAAATGTTTGTTCCCATTTCCTTAAAACAATGGCTCAAGTAAAATACATATATTAGTATCTTCCCCAACATGGTGGGAGGTGGGTGGTTCATTAGTGGGAGGTGGGGGGAATAGTTTGAAGTGGGGCTTGGTCTCAAAAATAGAGCTAGTTCTAAAAGTTGTTTACTTTTCTAGGGAAGAATCTGCTACAGGCTTAACAGCTCTGTTTTAAAAAAAAATCAAACTATCCCAAGTTCATGGCTAAAAGGTAAGTTCTCTTTAAGGACCTAGTGCTTTGTATATTCCCGGAGTGTGAAAGACTTGGATTTAAACTGTAAAATTTAATCTGGATCAGTTTCCTGTAGTTGGCAATTGAAAGGAATGGGGTGGTCACAGTAGTGAAGTTGTGGGACCCTTCAACTCTTATGAATATTAATGGTTCTTTTTCCTTTCCCCTCTAGGAAAATCCTTGTGAGGACAACCTTTATTATCAGCCATTGTGCTTTATCTCACTGCCATGCAGTTGGTTTAGCTGTTCTAATTATTAGCAGCTTTAATTCAGTTTTGTGAATGGGCTTTATAATAAACTATTTTGACTTACTTTTGGGTTTTGTTTCTTTGTCTGCCATACTGATATTCGTGGTAAATATTTTGGTGCTGTTTTCTTATCCATTTCAGATTTGGGAGTGGGAATGGGTGTTAATATATTAGTTGCCTGGTACCAGCTTGAAATTTATATGATCATATTCCCTTGGTCATACCAGTACTGCCCAGGTAGTGGTGGTGGGTTTTTTTTTGGGTGATAGTTCTCTGCTTGGGTGATATGCCTGAGCCTTTTTTTTTTTTTTGTAGGTTGTGGGAAATTCACTGAGAGCAAGTGGTTCTCATGAGAAAAATCTTTTAACATTTCCAAAGTTTAGGTAGTACAGGGGACATTTTATTGTGACATTTAAGTAACAATGGATTTTCTGAAGAAGCCCAAAGCCCTGCAACTACAGCAATATTTTTTTTAAGTAAGCGTAATAAAGCTGGGCACCAGTGGCAAATGCCTATAATTTTAGTTATTCCGGAGGCTGAGATCTAAGGATCTCGATTCCTGGGCAGGAGAGACCGTGAGACTCCTATCTCCAATAAAACCACCAGAAAACCGGAAGTGGCGCTGTAGCTCAAGTGGTAGAGCGCTCGCCTTGAGCTGAAAGTCCTAACTTAATAATAGGAAGCTTTAAACGGTGCCAATGGCTCATGACTAATACTACTCAGGATGCTGAGATCTGAGGATCACAGTTCATAGCCAGCCCAGGCAGGAAAGTCAGAGAGACTCCAGTATACCACCGGAAGTGACATTGTGGTTCAAGTGGTATAGCACTGTACTTAAGCTGAAGAGCTGAGGGACAGTGCCCCAGCCCAGAGTTCAGGCCCCATGACTGACAAAAAGGAAGACAATAAACAGGACACACATGGGTCATGCTTGCAATCCTAACTATGCAGGAAAATCTGACCCTGAAGTAGAGCTGTGGCCCAATCAGTAGACTCTTGAGCAAAAAAGATAACCCAGGCCCTGAGTTACAGCCCCATTACACAAAGACAATGGAATGAGACAGTTTATGTATGTAGAGCTCTTTATAAAACCAAAAGAGGGATGCTTAGACAAGAGGTGGAGGTTGGAGACCTAGGAAGTTAAGTTTCTCCTCTGGCCTCAGGCAAGTCTCATTGAACACTGCAGAGCTTCAAAAAGTTGGGGTTCCCCTTGTACTAATGTGGAGAATTTAGCACCTTCTGGATGTTGGGGTATGGGGGGATGCCTTTAACAGAAGGGAGGAAAATCCCCACCAGGCCCTCTCCCCCTCCCCCAACTACCACCAAACACACACAGGCCAGCTCAGTCTGTGGCCTCCATCTTGGTAACCCGGGGCACAAGGAAGATTGTCCCATCTGCAGCCTGTTGCAAAGCATACTCCTCTGGGGAATAGCTGTTGCCTGATTCATCCCGAAGATGGTGAAAGATATCACGATAGAGCTCTGCCAGCTGTTGGCGCATGACCTCCAGGGTACGGTCTGCCTCTCCTCTGGCCCTGAGAAGCCGCTCCCTCTCATTGCCCAGTCGTTCTAGCTCCCGCTCCAACTGCACGATAGTCTCCAACTTTCTCTTACGGCAGTTCTGGGCAGCCACCTTGTTCTTGCCCCGACGTCGGATGTCCCTAACTAGAGCCAGTTGGCTTTCCGTCAGTGGGTACCTTGCCAAGAGCTCATTAAAGTCATCTACAGGCAAGTTGACAATCTTGTCCGTAGGGAAAGGGATCTTCATGGCCAGGGCCCGACGCTCATCCCGACTCCCTGCTTCCCCCCGTGTAGCAGGCTTAGCCTGTGCAGGACCAGAGGAGGCCTCTAAGGCCAAGGGGGTCTCTGAAGGTGGCAGGGTATAATTAGGGTGGGGCAAGGTGTTGGGCATAAGCGAGTAAGGGTACTCCACTGGATACATCTCTACATACTCGCTCGGCCGCCGACCAGCCTCTGTCCCTTCCAGCTCAAGAGATTCAGCATCACTGTAGTTGAGAGATAATCCTGAGTCCGATTCTGGATCTTCTTGGGGCTTGGGTGGCCCCACTGGCAGCCCAATGTCCAGGAGGGCTAAGGGATCAGCAAGGGGCTCATTGAGCAGGCCTGAGAGGGTCAGTGGCTTAGGCACTGGTATGGCCATGTTGCCATAGGGGAATGAAGGGTCTGGAACTTGGGATGTGGATACTGGGAGCTCATATGGTGGTGGAGGAAGGTTAAAGCCTGGATCCGGATGGACTGAGCAGGGACAGTAGGTTGGGGTTGGTGGAGGTCCAGGGTAAGGGGCTGGAGCTGGAGGTTCAAATGATGGCTCACTTGGAGCAATGAGACCCTGCAAGAAAAGACAAAGAGGTTTGGAGTCAGACTGGAGAAGAGGAACCCTGTGTTAGGATCAAGCGAAGACCTTCTGAAAGAACCAATGAGATGAGATCCAAAAGTTGTCAAAAATCACTGGAAGCTTCTAGCAGACAAGTCCTGGAACCTCCTCTTACTGGACTAAAATGGTTCCTGTTCCCTAGTTTCCCACCGGAAGACAAGGCATTGTTATCCAAAACAACCCCTCAGAACTCTTTCCTGCTGTGGTTATCCTGGGTCAAAGGGTCAAGTTCAGCTTGGGGCCATCCCCTGGGTGTCCAGCAGAGGGAGCTGCTGTGTGAGAGGAAGGCCTAGGGCAGATCCTGTAGGCTTCCAACAGAGGAGTTTAAGGAGGTGGGCACAGAGCCCAGGATGGGGATGAAGAAGCACCTGGAGAGCCTACACAAGCTCTGCCATTTCTTCAGTCCCGTAGTCCCTGCCCAGGTGCAGCAAGGAGGAAGAACATGTTGGAAATACAGCCCCCAACCCACATAGGGGAGCCACCTTGCTCCAGCTCAGCTGGAGACAAAGACATCATTGTTTAGGCCAACAGACACCCCTTTGTCCAACATGCAGCAGGAGAGGACCCCGGCATATTCTGACTCCCCTTTCTGAGGCCCCTGAACTACTACTGCTCTGCTACCTGGGAGAAAGGGACCCAGTTGCTAAGGACAAGGAGAGGAAATGAAGGAGGATGGGCAGGATTCGAAGAGAGGAGGTCAGAAGAGAAAAAGATGAGGGCTGAGCAGGAGGCCAGGGAGAGAGGTGTGAACAGAGAAGCTGCTAAGAGGAACCTACACCCTCTTTGGCCTGTCAGATCCTTCTCTCCCCCACTTGTATTCTCTGCACCTCAGCACCCCCTTTTCCCCAACATTCCTCATTGTTTCCATCCACCCCTCCCACACACTCCAGCATTTCATTTTTCAGTGTCTGCAACACTTTCAGCCCTGGCTCCCTCCACCCCCTGGCCTCCACCCCAATCCAGCCTCCAGCCTTCTCCATCCTTCCACTCCCTAGGGCTTACCTGTAGCTCGGAGATGGACATGATCTCTTGCCAAGTCAGTTCCATCTCACCCAGCTCTGCACTGAGCAGCTGTGTCAACCTGTTTCTGCTCTGCTGGGGAGGGCAAGGGGGCATCCTACTGGGCCAGGGCTGCGTCCAGCTTCCCCCAAAGCCCAAAGGGCTTCAGCAACCTGTGTCAAAAGAGGAAAAGTATTAGAGCTTCCCCTGCTAGTGTCTGCAAGTTTGTCCTGCCACATGAGAGAAGGGCAGTCTTCAGCTCCTCACTTCTGCTGGGCTGTAAGCTACCAAAACCTTCTGAGATGTGGTCTCTGCCTCACCTACTATAAGTATATTCAGTCCTTCTGGAAGCATAGTAGGTCTTTACCTCCAGACAAGATGTTTTCTCAATCCCCTGCTTCTTCTGAAACTTCTTCAAACTGTATTCCTGGCCAGATACAGAGCTGGATCTTCAGAGACTTTTTTTTTTCTTTCTGTCTTGGTCTAATTGCCCATTTTAGGGAAGGAACCAACAGGAGTCAGTTTTGCTTTCCTCTTATTTCCTAAGTGTTAAGAGTTTCAGTCTTTTCTTTCCAAGATGAGAGTAAGTGCTTAGGGATCCCCAAGGAGTATGTTGTGGGAAGTACTAAGCAGACATGCCCTCCTCTTGTCTGAGATATGGACCAGGCCTGGTGGCGATAGCAGCCCTGCCCTCTCCTCCTATCCTCACCCCTGGCCTTCCCTGCCTGGGCCAGATAAGAGGTTTATCAGCTACAGTGCTTTGGGGACACAGGACCTCTACTTCATGTCCTTGTAGGATCATCTTGGCCATATCTCAACCCTAACACAACCAGGGGTCTTTCTTTCCTCTTCCAAGGCAATGTAACAACCACAGGAGTCTTGCTAAATGCTTGTCAGGAACTGCACTACACTGGTGTATTATACACATTTGTTTATGAGATTGGTTTTCACAAAGACCCTAGGAAATCTATTCAAAACCTGAGACCCAAGCTGTTAAATGGTAGGATGAGGTCTAGAATAGGACTGTCTATTCAACCAAGACACCGTCCCTTCCCACCCTCCCTGGTGGCTTGCCACACTACACCTCTGTCTACTGTGTCTGAGTCTCAGTCCCTTTTCTCTTCTTCTGGACAGTGCCTCTTTAGATCTTTGAATACCTCTTCCCCTCTCATCCACCTTCATTTTTTTTTGTACCTGTCTTGGGGCTTGAACTCAGGGCCCTGGGCACTATCCCTGAGCTTCTTTTGCTCAAGGCTAGCATTCTACCACAGTGCCACTTCTGGTTTTTTTCTGAGTCATTCATTGGAGAGAAGAGTCTCAGGGACTTTCCTACTCAGGCTGGCTTCAAATTGGGATCCTCAGCTCAGCCTCCTGAGTAGCTAGGATTACAGGTATGAGCCACCAATATCTAGATCATCCACCTTCTTCTGATCTGGCCTCAAGCTGCAGCCCAGCCATAAAGCAGCATCAGCAACAGTGTGTGAGGGGGGGGGGGACATTGGGCAAAGTCATCTTACTGCTCTGTATCTGTTTCCTCATTTGTAAAACCAGGGAGCTGGACAAGTTGAACTTGGAGGTCTTATTCATCTTAGACACGAGTTTAGAGTTCTCAGTGAACTCTCACCTCTTCCTTTATCTTCCCTTTTCTGTCAGGCCCTCTGCTCAACCTACCTCCTATTCCATGACACCTATCTCTCCCTGAATCTGTCCTTGTCTTCAGCACAAGATGCTGAGTATATTTAGCAAAGGCTTCCTGATTTCTCAGGACCAGACATTACACATACACACATACATACCATCACCACCAACACATTAGTGAAGGAAAGTAGCCAGAATGAAGAAAACTTCCAGAGAGACAAAGGATAGGCCAGTAATCTCACATAGCATGATCTTAGATCACCCACCACAAAGATGACCTATCACAACTATTCAATGTGGAATCCATTCTTGGACTTACCACAAAATTTACAGGCACTACAAGTATCCTTTTGAATAAGGGTGTCTCTGAGCTCCTACCTCCACCTCTACCTCCATGATATAAATGCCATCTTCAGAGCTGGGAGTTGATATAGGAATAGAGCCTTGACCAGTAGGCAGAGTGGGTGGGGTGTTTATGTCTGTCCAGGATGCCATTTCAACACCGGAACCCCACCCTCCCCACCCAGGTTCTGGCGGAAATTGCCCAAAAGCAAATGAATGGAGAAGGGGTTTAGAAGCAGGACCAAGACTCTTGCTTCATACTCACTCCACCCCCACTCTGACCTTCCTGGGTCTCTCAGGTGCAGTACAAAGATCCTTCCCTAGGAGGCAGGAGACCAGGCTTCCCAGCCTTCAATATGCATGACCTTAGCTAGACCCTGCAGGCTTATGCCTGTAATCCTAGCTACTCAGGAGTCTGAAATGTGGAGATCAAGATTCAAAGCTAGTCTGGGAAGGAAAGTCTTTCTGTGTATGTGTCTTATCTCTAAAAAGCCAGAAGTGGTAGAGTACCAATGTTGGCCTAAAAAGCTAAGAGTCAACACCCAGGCCCTGAGTTCAAGCCTCAGTACTGGTACACACACACACACACAGCACACACAGCACACACACACATACACACAGAAGAGCATGACCTTAGGTGAGCTGCTTCATACATATTCAGTCTCCTCCATTAAATGGAGACAGGAAGAGCAAACCTCATTGTTGCAAGAACTAGATTCCATCCAGTTCAGGGTACTGCAAACTTGATTGTGCACTATTTACCTGGAATACATGGAAAAACAGATTCCTGAAAGCCACCTAGATAGACCTAGCAAATTGAACTGATCATGCAGGAGCCTGGAAAGCAGCATTTTTAACAAATAAATGCCCTAGGGATTCTAATGCCAGGCCAATCTTACCTCAAGAAATAATAACAAGGGCTAGGGATGTGGTTCAAGTGGAAGAGTGCCTGTTTAGCAAGGGAGAGGTCCTGAGTTCAAACCCCAGTATCACCAAAAAAGAACAAAGACTTTTTTTGAGGCTAAGAAAAAGAGACATCAAAGAGCCCAACTGTATGAATTTTCAAGGAAGAACACAAAGCCAGAATGGAAATGGGGAAATAGGATATAGGCTTCTTCTAGCTTCAAACTCTTGATTCAAATGAAGCTAGAGAGCTGTCTCTGAATCCAAATATAACTCCTTTTCCATGAAGACTTGGAGCTTAGTATCCCCCTCTTCCTGAGATAGGAAGATGAAAAGTATAAAAGTAGCATGGGGAGGCAGGAAGAGGTAGTTGAGGAGAACTTTTGGACCAATGCCAGCCAGCTTTGTGGTGCAGCAGTAAGTTTGTACCAGAACAAAGGGGGAGTGAGAAAGTACCTTTTATTTGGGCAACTGTGGCTCATGACTGTACTGCTCAGGAGGCTGAGATCTGAGAATCATGGTGGTTCAAAGTCAGTCTAGGAAGGAAAGTCCATGAGACTCTTCTCTCCAATTAACCACCAAAAACCCAGAAATGAAACTGTGGCTCGAGTGGTGGAATACTAGCTTGGACCAAAAAAGCTCAGGGCCAGCACCCAGGCCCTGAGTTCAAGACAGACAGACAGACAGACAGACAGGCAGGCAGGCAGACAGACAGACAGACACACACACACACACACACACACACAAACACACGGAGAAGAAGAAAAAAAGAAAGTGCCCTAGATGCTCAGAGATGATTGGGGTTTATAAAACACCACACAGAGTGCAGAAATTGGAAAGATTAGGAAAGTCTTCTTTTTTTCTCTGCCCCCCACCCAGTGTTGGGGATCACACTCAAGGCCTTGCTTAGACTGGATAAATGTGTTATCACTGAACTATATTCCCAGAACCCCTACTAAAGATCTTAACCACCATCCCTAAGTACTCACAAAAGGGTATGGAGTTTTATGCTTAGAGATGCAGGATCATTTGGAGAGGGATGCTGGGCAGAAGAAAAAGAAAAAGTGCCTTCTACTGCTGTCCCAGACCTCTTCATTTCCTTGATAAGGAGAGGGGCAGTAAGGCGGGGGCTTGCCCCAGGGTTCCTGTTCAGAGGTTTATTCAACTGTCTGGGGGTCAATATAGAGTAGAAGGAGGGGAAGGTAAACTTAAAGGTAAACTTAAGGTATGAGCTTGGCAGGTAAGCAACCTAGTTAGGTAACCAGAGGTAATATAGAGAAACAAACAGATTGAACATGGAAGAGGAAAGATTGAAGCAGAATAAACTCAGGTCTCCAGTGGCCCACATGACTCAGTGTGTGGGAACAAGGGAGGGGGAGGGGAACACACTTCTGCTATCCTGTCACTCTATCCCTAGATGCCAACCTCTAGTTCTTTGGTACCAATGACTTGGAGACACCCAGTCCCAGATGGTCTGATCCCTCCTTCAAGAATTCCAGTTGAGGGCTGGGAAGGTAGCTCAAGAGTACTTGCCTTGCATGCATGAGGCCCTGGTTCCTCAGCACCACATAAGCAGAAAAAGCTGTGGCTCAAGTGGTAGAGTGCTAGCCTTGAGCTCAAGAGCTCAAGAGCTGAAGAGTTGAGGGACAGCACCCAGGCCCAGAGTTCAGGCCCCTTGACCGACCAAAACAAAAGTTCCAGTTGAAAGAACTAACAGGTGCTTTCTTCTCCCTTCCAGGTCCAGTTCTACAGCCCTAGAGTTCTGAGGAGAAGCCATAGGAGCCAAGAACCCAGCTGGGCACCAACTCCCATTCTTGCTATAACAAGCATTTCACATGTATTCATATATCTTGGGTCTCCAATTCCTCAGCTTCTCCCCCAAAATCTTCCCAGGCAGATGGGACAAAGGCAACCAGGATGGGGAAGGAGGAAATCTATTGGCTTGCCCAGGGGGAATGGGCCAGTTGAAAGGTTTCTCCTGGACACTTCCCAGGTTGGGTCCTCCATCTCACAACCTTTCACCCCAAGGATCCCAGAAAAATCTCCCCTTCCCGCGGGAGTGGGGGGGGGGAGAGGGAAGCCATCTAGATCTTCTCCCAGAGGACTTTTTTTCTCAGAGATGTCCAAGACTTAAACCTGGGGAAGTCTGGCAAATCTCTTGCAAACAGACCTATTAAAAGAGGGTTAATTTCTCCTCCCCCATCTCCTCCACCACCACACTCCACCACCTCTCCAGTCTGGAAACAGTCTGCCCCCACCCCGTCTTCTCAGGTACCTGTAGGAGATTCCAAGCAGGATGAAGGGAGAGGTGTCACAGCTCCCGAGCCGCACTACCTCTGCGAACCAGCTCGGGCCGAGCCCCGCCTCCAGGCCATGGCTCAGTGTAGTAGGGGAGGTTCCCCGACACCCCCAAGGCTTGGCGGAGCCCCGGGGAGCTCCAGGGCCGGCACCCTGCCCTTTCTCTCTACAACCCTCGGCCTGGCTTCTCAGTCCTTTACTCCAACCCTCCCCTTTCCCCCCGTGGCCCTCCTCTCCTCCTGCCCCTTCTGGCCAAGAGAGGAAACTTGAGCCCGGTGTGGTTTCTGCCCACACCCCGCCCTCGCCTTTGCTCCGGGCCAACGGGGGCACCCAGAACGCCCAGGTCTGTATTTTCTCCACCCGGCGTGTGATGAATTCCACTCCCCCGACCCAAAGA